GATACTTTTTTCTTTGATTCTTTGATTAATAAAAAGTTAAAAAGAACAGTATTTATTCAAAATAGAAATCTTTTCTAACAATATAAGTCTTTACTATCACTTTTTGTCCATTTAACACATCCTTGCTGAATAAAAGTATTAATTAAAAAAATATATATAAAAGTACCGACCCCAAACTTTTGAATAGTAGTGTATATTGTAACACAAAATGTAAATTTTTAATAAACACTGTTCTTTTTAACTTTTTATTTATCAAAGAATCCTGGAAAAATATCACAGGTTCCAAAAAATATTAAGCAGCACAACTCTTTCCAACACTGATTATAAACCAGCATATTAGAATGATTTCTGAAGGATCGTGTGACACTAAAGACTGGAGTAATGATGTTGAAAATTCAGCTTTGCTTCACAGGAATAAATTATATTTTAAAGTATATTAAAAAATATTTTTTATTTTATTTTAAATTGCAATAATATTTCACAATATTATTTTATTATATTTTATTCATCCATTGATGCCAGACTGGGGAGAGAGGTGTTGTAATAATGTAAAATATGTGAAAAACCTAGTATGAGAGCCTGTTCTAGTACACCCCCAAAACAATATCAAGACTTTGTAAAAGAGCATAATAGGACCCCTTTAAAAAACTTTACTGTTCCCAAATTTTTGAACGGCAGTGTATTATATATACTGTAAAAAATGTTTTCTCAGGTAACCTAAAATTTACATAATTTAGTTACATCAAGGGTCAAATGAAATATAAATAGCACATTAAAGTTAAAAGTTACACACTTTTTTGCGTGTGTGCTGTACAGGTCTGGTATAAAGAATGTTTTTGCTCAGGTGGCCGAAATGTCCGCCAATAGAGAAAAGTTACATTGTAGTTACAAGTTAGGGAACACTGCACACCACTATAATTTAAAATGTAAAAACAACTAAAATGCTGTATTATGTATGCCAAGCCAGTAGATGGTGATGTCACTTTGGTAAAGAGATGGAAACAGCATCGTTTTGCACTTTGAAACTTTCAAAAGTTGGCGTTTTCAAACCCCCAAAATGCCATTGTGCTGTAAATGAAAGGCCATAAATGCATAAAAATTGTTTAGTTGGTTACTCTAGTCCCAATTTACAGCTAAATTAACCAACTGAATTTTTGATGGATGAATGAAAGTCCCACCTTTAAAAAAGTCAATCGCATATTGAATAAAAGTCACATTTGAAAAGTCAAAGGTGCAGCCACATTTACCGTTATGCTGCAAATTTGTTACCGACAAAATCCAGTCATTTCTATAGACCAATTTGGTGTTTGTCGACAGTGATGACATTTTTTTTGTGGGCGGAGACTATCTGGTGGCAGAAAATGTTTCAAGTAGCAGTCTATGGAAACCATGGAATAAAGGTAAATTTTAGTTTATATTTCAAAATAATGTTTAAATAGCATTTCATGCTGTAACTAATACAATATGTCCCCTATGAGCTGTATATGTGAATATTTAGACCATCAAAGTTATGCTTTAAATCAAAGTTATGCTTTAAAAGTAGAGTAATCGTAGCAGTTTTCATCCATAGTCTGTCTGTTTAAACGTCTGCGTTTAGTTTCAAATGGCATCTTTGACGACAGTATTCTATAATAATTATTTGTATTCCGATCCTGACATACAAAGGCACAACCTTTTTTTTTTCCTCTTATTCCTTGGATTTTACTCATTTCCCTCCACTTGTTACCAGTGTTTTTCTGCCACCACTATGTGCACGCAGCTGCACGTGACGTAACTGTGACGTCTACTCCGAATTGATATATAGTAATCCACATGGGAATTTCGCATGAGGGCGGAATATTTTCCTGCACAGATTTCACATCTAGTTCAAATTCGTCAAATTCGTTTGGTTTGAAATGGGTTTACATCGCTACACTTTTGACAATGGATCCAGTTTTCCAGCGAAAATTACACTAATGTGACTGCATTTTTATAGATTAAAAGAGTCAGTGGTCTTTTTCTGTTTGTCTACTCTTGAATATGCATTATCTTGGCCAGACTAAAAGAAATATTGTTGAGCAAAAGAAGCTCAATTTATTAAACATTTTATTTAATATACCTGGCTTTTTCTTATTTAAAGATGGCAGAGAGATTTATCAAGATGGCAGCCAAATGGATCGACGGTTTAAATTTTGGTTTATGCAGTGTGTTTTAGATATTTTCAAAATTTTTAGCCTTATTTTAACTATTTTTAAATTATACATAGATCTTAAAGTGAAATGAATTGTGGTAACCAACAATGGATCCATAGCAGATTACATAATAATGGATCCCCACTTAACTTCCATTACACTCTTTGCTCTTTTTCAAGGCACTTAAATACAAAAGTTTTAATGGACTGAACTTCAACCAAATGATGGCAGTTTTCTTCATCTTGGCAAGGTTTTTCAGCTCTAACCTGCTGTGCTGCTCTCTGGCAGGGCTTTGGTCTGCTGGGTCTATTTCCTGTGCTGATGAGGTGTATGAAGGAGATGCCATTAGCAAAACTCAGCGTTTTGTCCAGAATCGCCTCTTACGTCCTACTGGCCCTCGCAAGCAACACATGGATGGTCTTCCTCGGTAAGCTCCCATCACTCAAATGACTCAAATAATTTATATAAATGATATATTGACATAATAAAGCTCCTTGCAAAGTTATTGTGCATGAAAAATGATCGAGAAAACCATTATGTCAAGTTAATGATGCAGTAGGGTCAATGATGTGATTTATTTTGTCCAGACCTATTAATTTATTAAAAAATGCATTAAATATGCAATTCATACATACAGTGACTTGAATACACATATTCTATGATAAGCTATTGTTGACATAAAGTAAAAAAAAAAAGCTATTTATTTGTTTGTTTTTGCTTGGTTCTTTTTGTTTATGAAAGTGATATAATTCAATACTGTAATATAATTATTATTAAATGGTATTATATATTACACTACCACCCAGAAGGATTAAAAAAATAAATTAATACTTTTTTTGAACAAGGATACAATAAATTAATCAAAATCCAAGGCACTCGAAAATATTGTGAAAAAGTCAAAAGCCTTTATTCACATGGCTTTAACATTAAAAACAACACACATGTGCACCGATGCGTAGCCTTGGATTGATGAGTTTTTTGATGACATAAAAGAATCCTGCATCCAAAGAACACCAGTTCATGACGTTCACACCCCTGCAGAATTTTTCTTTTTTTTTTTGGGATGTACGACAGTAAATACATTTATAATATATTTTATAATTTTTATAATTAATTTTAAAGCTGTAGTCCGTAACTTTGTTTTGGTTAAAAATGATAATGATCCGAAATCAATATTTGAGCAAGTAGATAAACCAGCCAGTGTTCAAAACTATAGCCTTAGATTTGCACGGTTTGATGTGATATGAGCTAATTTAGATTAAATCACCATTGGTAGCGCGATTTATTGTAATGCTTTTTTCCTCAGTTGGTCAGAACAAACGTGGCAGACTTGTTACTTACTTGTTCAGATGCCAATATCCAGGGAAAATTCTTTTTTTGGGTCATATATTCCAAGACGTAGGCTAGAACCTGTGATTCTGAAGTACAGTGAATATCCACACCGGTGCAGTGACTGACTGCCACACATACTCCTCAAAACATTAGATTCATCCGCGCTGGAGCCGTGCCGCCGCACAACACATGCAAGGAAGATAATTCCGCAAACAGCTGCAATTGCAGGTTTTCAAACAAAGATGGTGAAAAAGAGGGAAAACTTACGGACTGCAGCTTTAATTTCAAATAATTTCAAATAATTGTAATTTCAAATAATATTATTCTGTACTTTCAATTCCTCAAATAATCCTGGAAAAGTATGATGGTGTCCATGACAATATTAAACAGCAGTTTTGAACCTTGATAATAATAAGAAATATTTCTTGAACATTAAATCAGCATATTAGAATGATATCTAAAGTATCACGTGAGACTGAAGACTGGAGTAATGGCTTTTAAAACATGTTTAAATAGAAAATATTTATTTAAAATTGTAAAACTATTTCACAACATTACCATTTTACTATATTTTTTATCCTTGGTGTGTAAGAGACATTAAAAAAAAAAAAAAAATAAAATAAAATAAAATAAATAGTTTTAAAGGTTATATACACACACACACACACACACACACACATATATATATATTCCACTATATCAAAGTCTTTTAAAATATTTGTATTAATTTGTTATTTTTTTATTTAATTAAATTTTTAATATTTTACTTTTAATTTTAGATTTGACATTGACTTGGTAGTACTGTTGTGGTAGTGATATGTGTCATGTTGTCGCATGGTAGCGTGGGAAGGTTTTACACTTTAGGATGGTTAGAAACAGCACAACTGACCCTATTTCAAATCTGTCAGCGAGCATATCAAAGCACATCTCTCTTCCCTAAAACAATGTAGATTTCTTTTGTCAGCATGTGACATGCACAAAGCAAATGTTTCCCACTCGAGGCCGACGGTCTTCACTTGAGCTGCCTGTTTTACCAAGACAGTCAAATGGCTAAATGTTTTGGAAAAACAGTCTACCTGACCAGACTTTTTATGGTTCACATTCATTCCTCACTGCTGTCTGAACTCCTTGCCTTGTTCCAGTGGGGGCTCCACCTCCAAAGAGGTGTTCTCAGAGTGGTAAGTAATGATAACATTGTGCCGGCCTTCATAGACGGCCACTCTCAGGGAGAGACAGCTGGATCGGCGTTAATACTGTTAATTAAATAAATGGTTGTGGAAATTGTTATTCTAATCGATGTGGCAGACGAAAGCCTTTTAAAGGGAGATGAGTGGCGGCTCAGATGAATAGTCAGTGCCAGGGAGGGTGGAATTTGCATGCTGGTCTTTTCTGTTGGCTGCGATAATGAGGGGCACAGTGGCGGCACACGGGAGTCATAACCTCCATTCTGAAAGTACAGCGCATGTGTGGTGTGTGCAGAACCGACACATACACACAAAACACATGGATACGTGTGCACACACATACACCCCACCACATACGCATCAACGCAAATACAGAAAATCTTTTGTTCTTTTGAGGATCTGCTTTTCTTGATCACGCATGATCAGGCGGCTGCGACGAGCGAGTGACTTTACATTCTGAGCCATTAGGAGAAGCCCATGCTTTGTAATCACAATTACCTCGCAGAATTTCATACATATAGATTAAGCTCATGAATTATTGAATATTCCATTTAGATTCACTTACATTTTAGAACTGGTTAGCATTCCTCTGGTCTCACCACTATGTTTAATTTTAAGCAATGTTTCTTAATATAGTGTAGGCCTATGCAGGACTATAACAGTTGTTTACTGTTAATTTTAGCACTTTTATGAACTGGTTTGTCCTGTGGTTTTGTAGTTGCTGTAGTCGGCGCTCCATCTGGTATCAGCCAAGCAGTGATTCGTTCTTTGTCTTCTGCCATCGTAGGAGCTGATGAACAAGGTACTGTGTTATGAATTCACAATTCATTGAGAGAAAGAGAGAGACACCACAAAAATAAAGTACTAAGATTATGAACGTCCATGGTTTTGGACACAGTAGGTAAAACAGAATGATAAAATCATGGTTTTTCGATAGTCCTTTTGGAAATCAACCAATGGTGTTTGTAGTAAGACCACAGTAACCACATATTTACTATTGTCTTACTGTAATATACTGTACTACCATACTTTAACCTTTCACTACCATATTCAACTATGATATTTACAATTAAACTTTTGTAATAAAAATGAGAATTAAATCTGCCAATGAACTTGGTTACTGCAATTTTACAATAGTAACAACATGGTTAATTTCCATAAGAGAGACGTGTCTTGTAAAATCAAACTTGGTAAAATCATGTTTTTTTTTTTTTTTTGTAGAAACACTGTGGTAAAATTGTGGTTTTCAGATATATACCATGGACATGGTAATACAATTGTTGGACATGGCAGGAAGGTAAAATCATAATTTTTGGATAGATATAATAGTAAAATTAATAGTAAAATCATGGTTTTTGGATGGTCCTTAAATGGGAAAAATACCTATGGTATTTATAATAAAAACCAAAACAACCACAAATTTACAATTGTTTTACTACATTGACCATATTTTAACCATGATATTTGTAGTAAAACTATAGTAAGAAAATATCTGAAAAACAAACAAACAAACAAATAAACAAACAAACATGGTTTTAGGATAGGATACCATGGTAATAGCACATATTCATGGATATGTAGCATAGTAAAATATTTATTTATTTTTATTTGTTTGTTTGTTTATAATAAATAGTTTTACTACCATAACTACATTTAAACAGTGACATTTGTATTAAAACTATGGTAACTAAAATCATAATAAAGCTCCCAAAATTTAAAAACAAAGCAGTTCCCTTTCAGTCGGTCACTCTCGACGTCACGTCGGATGACCGACGAAATTGGGATCTCGCTTAGAGGGACCAATCTACTTCGAGTGTAAACTAAACGGCCGGGTCACCGTCTCGGCTCCTCAGCGAAAACCTGAATATGCGGTGCATCTGCTGCCTACTTATACTCACGCTGTGATCAGCAGCAGCTGGATGCAATAATCGCATGCCAATGTGCATTGGCTCGTTTAGTTTACACTCGAAGTAGATTGGTCCCTCTAAGCGAGATCCCAATTTCGTCGGTCATCCGACGTGACGTCTCCGTTCCCTCCTTCAGGGAACGAGGGTTACCATACGTAACCGAGACGTTTTATGATATTAGGGTAATTTTCATAAGGGAGATGCCATGGTAATACTAATTTGTTTGTTATGGTATCATGGTTAAATATGTGTGTATGCATGCATGTATGTATTTGCAGAATAGATACCATAGTAATACCATGTTTTTGTACATGTACCATAATAAGTAAAAACCTCTATTATTTGTAAAGTTGCTTTGAAACTGTATGAGTTATTTAAAAAAAAAAGCCTATACAAATAAATTCAGTTGTTCTGAATCTTAGAGGGAATACCATGAATATACAGTAGTAATCATTCAGTACCATGGTATTATCATCTGAAACCATCCCTGTGTGTTTTTATTAGAGTTTATTGCATTGAGTAATGTGTACATCACAGCATCCCTTTCTTCTCCCTGTTTGTTCTACAAGCCCACAAATGAGCTGAAATATCCTGAGGAAACTGCAAAGTGTTTTGACCTTCATATGACAAATAGACTTGAGTCATGCCTTTCTTTTAAATCTTTACTTTCTTTGACATTTGTTTCTGCCTGATAACGTAGCTAAAAACCCAAGATTTAATCTCCATTGTCCTTTCACAAATCCTTAATGAGAGGCGCCGCAGTATGCATAATTAACCGGGGAACTGAACACCGGCTTTCTCAAGAATATCATAGAATTATCAAACTCGGCTAAGTGGAAAACAATGCAGGAGGAACAGAGCAACAACAAACAACATCTTGAATACACTTTCATATTCATATATCCACCCCGGCTTGTTTACACTACTCACGCAGCGTGCAGCTGAAAGCCAAACCGAAAAGAAATATCCATTTAGTCTGTGGACACAAACATCTTTCTTCCCATTACTTTTATTTATTTTCCTGTTGATGCAAGAGTGATACAACTGTGAAAGGACACAGTGATGACAGGCCATTCCCATCCGTAAATGCACTGTTTTCACTGTGCAAGCCGCCTCTCTCCACTTTGACAGCCGTTTCCTCGGCTTGTGTCTCAGATTGCATGTGTCACTGACTCTATTGCAGTTTCTAGTCATTCCAGGGCACTCACACGACTTCCAGCTCCGGTGAAGATCAATACGTATTGCATGTTCCAGGCACTTACGGGCTGCCCTGATGCTCCGCGACTCATTCTGCTCCAGTTAGTCAGAGCAGTCACGAAGTTCAGTGTAGCTCACGGAGATATTTTATCAAAGTGGATCAAACCATTATTTATGCCAACGATCTACTGCACAGACCTCAGTTTCTACGGCTATTATTCTTTCATTCAGATAAAATCATAGGTTATGAATTTCAGGTGCATCCATGGCATATTAATGAAACGACGCTAGCTTTATCCACAATGTTTCAGATATCTTTATTAGAAACACATGTTTTTAATTTAGGGGGTAAATGCTGGGCTCCACTATGTATTCATTTATTGGTCCCACTTTATATTAAGTGGCCTTAACTACTATGTACTTGAATAAAAAATAAATACATTGTACATTGTGTTCATATTGTATTGCAAAACACTTTTGCTGCTATTGAGGTGGGATATGGGTAAGGTTAGGGACAGGTTTGGTGGTATGGGTACGTTTAAAACCCTCTGGTGCTCTTCGGTCACTTTTGACCAAATAATTTATTTTTTGAATTTTTTAAAATCACAGCTTCATCAGAATGGTACGAAACTTGGTGACTTTTATGGCATTTGGAATGTGAACACACAAAAAAATTGAGGGCATGATTCAAGCAGACTAAGTGGTCGTAAAAAAAAATAGTCACACTTGTGGTCTTCGGTCAAAAATGACCGACCATAGGAAATTAATGGGAAATCGACAAAAACACAAATATTCTGAGAAGTTTTGTGTGTACAATCTACAAATCTGACACAAAAAAGTACACAGCAATGACAGGGTGAAACTCTAAAACATCAAGAGTGCAAAACCAACACATCCACTCACACACACACACGCATACACACACACTTATACACACACACACACCTATGAACTGGTGTGACTGTAACACAGCAAATATGTAAAATAAAAGCAATAATTCAACTACAATGCAGTAACAAAGTGGACAGCAAGGAAGGGGTTACACTCTAAAACATCAAGAGCGCAAAACAGACACACTCACTCAAACACACACTCACTTACACACAATCACAGACACACACACAAACATACACAATTATACACACTCAAATGAACTGGTATGGCTATTAACATATAGCCAAAACGAGTCAGAAAACTGAAATAAGAGGTTGAAATCAGATCAAACCCAGAAGGATTAAGCTCTGATTAAACATTTCTGTTCATTTTTGTTACATTTTTATAGAATTTTAATGTTTTGTGTAACAAAATGCTTTCTCTGTATTCAGGTATGACTGTAGTAATAATAATTCAAAAACTGACACTTCAAATCAACATTTCAAAAAAAAAAAAATCTAAACCTTTACACTAAGTTGCCTTTGAGAATGTCTAAATATATATCCAAACCCACAACTTAATAAAAATAAGTATTTATGTCTAAAAACAATTAGAGAATTTATAGGCCTTTTATATAGAGCTATATAGGAATATATGGGCTAAACCATGGAATTGCAGATGTTTTCTTATTTTACTCCCACCAGATGGCACTAATCTGGCTTCAAAAATGGGATTTTAAAGGCATTGACTCTATTTTAACATAAAATACTGCATTCATTGAAAAGTAATATAAAAATATATTTTTTACAAATTTGTATTATTTTCAGTGGGCAGAAATTCATCATGATTATTGCATAAATATTAATTAGTGCCATGAAATTATCTCAAAATACAAAAAAAAAATATATATATATATTATTGAACAAAAATACATTAAATTGATTTTACTGGGGCGAAAAAAAGTTACATTTCAGGTGTCACACTTTTGACCATGAAGATGTGACTCCCAAATGAGGAGCACCAGGGTGGGTTTAGGTGTAAGGGATGGTCAACAGTGTAATTATGAATGTTATTACTGGAATTAATTACAGATGTAATTACATGCAGGTATTTAAGTACATTGTAAAAACATGTAAGTACATAATAAGTGCATTGTACTACCAAGTGATTAATTTAAATGTAAGTACATAGTAGTTAAGACCACTTAATATAAAGTGGGACCCATTTATTTGTTTGTTTGTTTGTTTATTTCAAATAAAATAAATGTACTAAAATAAATTAATTAAAAAATACCTCCAACAAAACATTTTCCCTCCCCTCAGGCTTTAAAGGCTCTTTATTATTTTCCATGGACCGTTTACATATTTCTCAGGTTCTCAGAAGCAGAAGTCAGCAAAGATGGGTAACTTCTATGGTAATGACAGAAAAGTACAACAAATATAGCAAAAGAAAAAAAAAAAGAAAAAATTAGCGTATTACAAAAGGAGGAAAAAATATTGAAAAATTGATTATTTTGGTCAGAAGAGAGAAAGAGGTCACACTCACGCAGTGACTAGTTTCTTTAATTTAACGTCACTGTAAAAACACAAGGAGTTATAAATGTACATTGTTATTATCATTATTATTATTCTTTATTATTTTTGATAATACAAGATTTATGATGTTAATATCTGTGGAAATGTGTTATCACAGTCCATTGTCCAATGGGACCTCCGATATAGCCAACATGTAGATTTTGAAGCACCGTCAGTTAATTTGGATAAAACTGGCTGTCAAATGTATCAATTTTAAATATGGACAACATTTAACAGAAGTTTGTTGTAGTGTTTGTTTTAGTGTAAAGAAAACTTTCTTTGTCCCATAAACTAAATTAATGAGTACAAATGACTACAGCACAAACAGTTTTGTTTTTGCTGAACAACATGTAAGATTTAAAAAAAAAATAATAGTAATAATTAATAATGATATAAATATTTATGACAGCTTTTTTGTGTCTGTTGTGATTTTCCATTCATGTTATAAAAGTTATAAATAGTCAATTTTCTTTATATGTTGAACCAGCAAGCTAATTGTAACATTTTACTGTTACAAAAAATAAACAAGTAAATAAATAAAATACAAATAATAATGTCTTAATCACATAAAAACGTAATTCACTAAAATGTATTTCTCACTAGCACACTAAGCCTGGTTCAGCTGAATTTCTCTGGATGTCTGTTTCACGTCTTTATTGACTTAAATGTTGATGTCCTCAGGTGCCATGTTCTCCTTCGCGGCCTCAGTGGAAGCGGCCTGCATCCTTATTGCTGCAACGATCTTTAACGGGCTGTACCCCCTGACCCTGCCTACCTTCCCCGGGATGCCCTTCATCATCATGGCCGTCTTCATGCTCATCGTGCTCATTCTCTTGCAGTAAGCCTAATTTCTAAAGGAATTTCTAAAGTTTTATAAAATAAGATGTGATTATTACTTTAAGAGACTTTAATGTTTTGTTCTACAACATAAGTTACACACAGTCATACTTTAATGTAAATTTATAATCTGTGTGCTTTAAATTTTAGTAGTGCTGGCGAAAAAAAAAGGAAAAGATGAAATAAACCTAACTGCACAGTCATGCTGCATCCAACTTGCTAACTATTCCTGAAGTAAACGAGTCGTGGCTGTTGCAATATCTAGCATGAAATCATTGTACACCACACAACAGTTTCAGAATATTATCTGAGGTGTGACTGTGTGTAATTTATGTTGCAGAACAAAACAGGACTCTTCAGGTAATGTTATCCACAGACTGCTGCTCTAAAAGCCCATTAGAAATTCCTGGGAGAACCCATATGGCTCAAAAATGCTAATTCTCTTCTGGGTATTAGTGCTACAAACTGAACACCTCTATTCAATGTATTTGTATAGAGCTTTTCACAATACTTATTGTTCAAAAAGCAGCTTTACAAAGAATAGTGCCTTAAACCCCCAGTGAGCAAGCCAACTCGACATTGGCAAGCTAAAACTCCCTAAGATATTTAAATAGATGAGGAACGTTTGGGAGGAACCAAGACACAGTTGGAGAAGCTCTCCTTCTCACATATTTAAAAGCATACATAAATGCGTACATACGTTTTAAGTTGAGCAGATGTAATCTAGTTACATTATATTAATAATAATTATATTCATTACTGGCTAATTTGTTTTTCAATTAAATGTCATGATCAGTGTTCTCCTATTTTTCTCTTCCACAATTCACAACAGTGCCTCAGATATACAGTGTGATTGTTGGCATGGCAACTCTTTTGATCAAATGAGGTCACATTATTGTCCAATTTTAATGTTAATTGCTTGCTTAGTGTCTGGGATAATTGCATTACATATTCCTTTTGAGGTAATACCAAGTGGAGCCATAGTTTAAAACTAATGTTTATTTTAATAGCTGGTTAATAAGATACTCACATAAACCGTATTGTGTTTCAAAAACATACTTCATACCAAATGAGGGGAAGCATCCCAGGCCTTGTGATTAAGTTGGGCCATTATGGTCCTCTATGGTTTAGTAGTACTTCCCAGTGGTTTTGAACTAGTTGTGCTTCAAGATTAAGATTTTAAAAGCAAAAGGTTGAGTTCACAAAATAATTGAACTTTCAAGGTAACTGATGTGACCTTTTAATGCAAAGTTCTTGTCAATACTGTATGCTACTTACGAACCACATATATAATAGGTCTAATGTGTTTTACTTTGAAGTATGTCTGCATCTCCATTGGTTTAGATTTTTTATATATTCGGAGAAGATGAGCATAAGTACTTACATTTGTCATGTGGAGAAATACAGAGGATGGCAAATTAGATATTGATCCATCTCTTGCGTATTCCTCAGCATTTATAGTGAGAGAGGGATCTTAATACATTTCTACTCTTCTCCACATGTGATGTGAGCACTAGACGTCTAAACTCAATCTAGCCACTAAGGTCTAGGTTCAAATAGTAGATTAATGTTTTCAAATAAATGTTCTTTAAAGTTCTTTAAAGGTCATTTGGTAACATCAGTATTGTAGACTTTTAAGGGAGGTCAGTGTGGCTACGCTGGAGTTTGTGCTTTTTCGAGGACCTCAGACTGTGGAATGAAATGTCTGTTTGTTAATTAAACATGCTATTCTAACAAAACAGAGCACCGCTCTACAATAACATGCACTGCTATAATGTGATGGCTCTTGATAAATGCTCTTTATATAATGGTCTTCCCATTTGCCATTAAATGGACAGATGGGCAACTTCTACCAAAACACATTACTATGTCTGACTCAACTGGACTACATTATGTTACATTAGAGCATGGTGCTAGCAACACCAAGGTCATTGGCCCAATTTCTAGGAAGTGCATGGAGTGATGCAATGTATACGTTTAATGCAAATAAATATCAGCAAATTGTATAAATGTAAATGTAGTCAATGGTATCCACTATTGTCTGGACTCAAAATACCTTAAAGGTTTTCAATGACACAAGGGTGTGTACAAGTTAATACTTTCATTTAGCAAGGATTCATTAAATTGACAACTGAAATTGTCTGATAACTGAAATAATTGAAATATTTATATTTATATTTCAGTAAATATTTCTAAATGCTGTTCTTTTGAACTTTTTATTTATCGAGGAGTCTTAAAAATGCATCTTGTTTCCCACAAAAAAATATTAAGGTGAACAACCATTTATAGAAATATGAAATGTTTCTTGAGCAGCAAATCAGCATATTAGAATGATTTCTGAAGGATCATGTGACACTGAAGACTGGAGTAATATTACAATTATTTTAAATTGTTATAATATTATTGTTTTTTTAATGTATTTTTGATAAATGCAGCCTTGGTGAGCATAAAAGACTTCTTCACAAAACCACGGAAAAATCTTACCAGGCCTAAACTGTGAATTATGATATCAATTTCATTTAAAATTCTCCTTCTTATAAACATTTGACAAGAAAAATGAAATAAATGGTATGAGACAGTAACATATTCATCCAGTGTCACCCAAAAGCAAAACTATTCCAATGAAATTTGTGAGTTTAGGCGGCATTCATTTTATCTCTAGTATCTTTAGCTCATTGATCCAAAAAGATAACCTGCTATGTGTAATCACAGTAATAGCCCTTTCAAGGGGTTCCCTGAAAAGCTTTGATCTAACTGACGCACTTGTCAGGTCGGCAATAAACAGCTCTACCACCTCCATTATCAGCCTTCAAATTGATTCTGACGTGCATTTGATGTTCTTCCTCAGACTATATAATTAAGTGATTGTCTTAGGTAATGAAGGCATTAAGTAATGTACACCTGCAATAAAGTCTGTGTGTGGTGGGTAGTGAAGTGTAGTATGGTTATCACACCCAGGCTGTAATTACACCACTAATGGGCTGTTCCCGGAGGCAGTGCCCGCTCAGGGTCGTGCAGTCTCCTCTGCGTCCCGAGCAGCCCGCTATTAAACCTGTGCAATTCAGAGGAAGACATACGGTCCTTAATCCATACTTAATCCATTATCCTGCTAGGAAATGATACGTGTCAAATCAGAAATTGCAGGCCGTCTCGTGAAAACTCAAATTACACCCTTTGACGTTTGGCTTTTTCATTTGCGTCGAGTGAATTTGAGAACAGCACCCATAAACGCAATATACGCTCATTGGAAAAGCATGCATCTCTACCTACATTTTTGCAAACTAACAAAAACATACTTATACAGTCCATACAATCCACGGCTGTTTCCAGCTGAAATTAATATTAGTGGAAAAAAATTTTTTTTTCCCTTTTCACACAAAATTAAAGGGGCAGATTATTGATTAATAAATAATTATTTTGTGTGGTTCCTTGCACAAAATGTTTGACCTCAAAACACTTTTATCGATTCTGATTCCAATACCAATTTTGCTTATCGATTCCGATTCTTATCAATTTCCAGTTTCAATTTCAACAAGGTAAAAAAAAACAAAAAAAAAAACATTTAGATATCAAACATATATTCTGTCTTTTTGCAAAACTTTCTGTTGCAGCTAAACACCATGAGCAAAACCAACAGCCTACAGAACACTACAGAACACAAATTACCACAGCAAAATATACATTTCAAACATTATTATTAAGAAGTATACAGTCAGTAATAAAATAAGAACATTTAAAAGAAAAGATGAATACAACTGAACAAAGTTCAGATACAGAAATTGAAATCAAATGTAATCAAATGTAAATAAGCAAGGCGAAGGTTTTCTTTTTATAAATAAAAATTTGATTAATCCTCATTAAAGTTACAAAAGTCATTCACTCAAGATCAGTGAGTGATTTACTTTTGTTTTATGATTAGCATTAATGACACAGCACGTTTATTAGGCTGCTGTCATTTTAAGACTGCATGGATGCAGATCTTTGGAAATAATTTTGTGTGTATTTGCCCGTTTAAGCACAAGAAGATGCAAACGAGAACTCAATTCAGTATTTGAGTACTATATGAGAGGCGGCTTTTTGTGTGCATCTTTTGGATTTTTATGCAGCATGAAAACAGTGCACGAGTGCTGAATTGAGTTCTCTTTCGCATCTTCTTGCGCTTCAATGTTCACATTAAAATGTGCACACAGGAATTAATAAGTGGAATTGAAATGTGTATCTTATTGAATCATGAAAATGTGGAAACGGTTCTAAAATGGAACCAGTTCTTTATACCCAAACGCATTTACCATAGTGCATAATTTGTATAACTGATACATTTCAACATATGCATCACATATGTAAAATTCATATGTAAGGCTTACATTTTTTTTAGGCTTTAAAATCTTGCTAATCCTAAATCTTTAAACTGTAGTATATGTGGACTTTCTTTCAGACAAAGTAAACTTGCTCAGTAGCTCACCTGGTAGTGCACTTGCTATGCGGAAAGCTCAGATTCGAGTCATGTGAAATCACAACAGTCACAACACTTGATAAAATAGCACAAAAACTTGAAGCTAAAGCTAAAATGGCATGGTTGCTTCAGCAAATGTGTTTCCATTTCACATTTGCTTTTGTTAATAATATTGGTTAGGTTCAAGGTAGGGTTTAGTGTAAGTTATTTTCAATCGCGATAGAACAGTTACCTTTTAACGCCACTCATCGGACATTACATTTCCAAACTTCCATAAAAAAAAAAAAAACAGCACGCTTTTAGTGCCACTCACCGCGCATTTCACTTTGAAAGTGCAGCAAAATGTGCAAGACGCAACACAATCATTTTGCAGAATGTCACAACAGCCACTTTTTCCAATGAGCCTGGGTGGATAAATGCCTGAACGGTGTGGGTTTGAACATCCCTGCACTACATAATTCCACTCTTATCAACATGAAAAAGCTTTTCAGAGAAAACAAATGTGAAACGTGACTAACCACTAGTTATTTTGTTCATTGTCATCAGTG